GCTTTAAATGTACCTAATGAGGTTTCAGTCTGCACTTTGCTGCCATCCCTCTGCTTCTTTGACACCAGGAAGAAGAGTGGTTTGGAAACCTATCGCGGACTTCACTGTGTTGGAGGTCTAATTACATGGTTACTGGTGACCTTGTAAGTACAGGGTAATCTCTGTAATACCAGGGTAAATTATCCCAGTACTTCTGTCTTCTCCATTGCAGCCTTCTGCAGAGATGGAACTGCAGCCGGTTAAACAGTAATTAATCTTTGAACAATTTGACACTTGCCCAAGCTGGTGAGGAATAACCAGCAGAAGTTCACTGGCTCTGCATGGGGCAAGGGACTGGCTCAGGAGCCACTGCTCTGGGAATGTCTGGTGTCACCTGGCCAAAAGCAGGGGCTACTTTGTCACCCAGCCTCTCCAGGGGCTGCTTTCTCAGAGCTAGATGCTGGATCCAAAGCAGCCAGGCATAGCCCCAGGCATTCACCCTACAAAACTTCAGGCAAACCAGCCAAGAGATCAGCTTTCTCCGTCCCAAGATAACAGCCTGTTGCCCCAGGGCTGGGGGCTGCCTGGCTGACCCCTGGTATCTTTATGGCAACAAAATACATTTGCACACATTTTAGACCTGCTGACATCATTTTCTCTGGAGAGCTTCAGGTTTTTATAGTAACCACGGTAATGATTTTCAGATTATAGACTAATAAAATATTTTAATTTGTTAGGAACATTAAGGTAGGCACTGTACAATTCTTATGACATTTAAACAGTGCATGTAAAAAAAAAAAAAAAAAAAAAAAAGGAGGGGGGAGTTTCTGAATGCATTTCTTTTCCAAACAGGAGCCCTGAAATAGAAAGTCAAAATCCCACATGCTGATACCGAGATCAGCTCTGACACCTCCCCTCTGTGCCTCTTTCACTTGAATACCTGACAAGTTAAATAAGCAAACATGGGATTGCAGCGTCCTAGTTGCAAACCTGTTTTTGGCAAATTAGCCCTCCTCCTTAGTCACCCTGAAGCAGTGACCCAATCTAAGCATGTACAACTCCATGTGCCATTGCCCTCTGTGGGCTGGGTCACGACTAACAGGTAACACAGGGGTTTTGCACCTCAGCCTAAACTCATCTATTCCTCCACCCTGCCCATTCTTTGTGCACTCTGATTAACTAACCAGACAAGATTGTAAAGCAAGTCATGGGTCTAGATCATCCCATCATTTCCAAGCACGCAACATACACCTGTGCCGCAAGGCAGATGGCTGCACCAGCCCCTTTCCACTGGCTGGGTAGCAATTGCATCATTTGGAGTGAGTAAGACTGCACTGAATAAAGCAGGGGCATTTTGGAGGAGGAAAGTTGCCCTCACAGGTCTATGGGTTGATACGGCTGATAGCTCAGTGCTTCGTTTCTTAACCTGTAAAATGGGGCAATGCAACTCACTGACTTCTCAGAGATGCTGTGCGGGTAATAGCTTGCACAGTAAAGCAATAAATGGCATGGAAAAGCCTGCCAAGAAAGGGAAAGATAGTCAAATGTTTAGCTCAGCGTTAGTTATACCTGGCAAAAGAGACAAAGGGTTACGCAATTTATATTGTGGAGAATAGCAAAGAAGTTCCTTTGTTCTGTGAGTATTTTTGCCTTGTACCTCAAATGGATCATACAAGATTAACGGCAGGCGATTATGTGAAGTCTGTACTACAAGGCAGAGGCAAGTGTGAGCTCGGGCCTTCCTATTATCATTACCTGACCTTGCACATTCCCTTTTGCAACCTCAGCATTTTTTTTTTTTTTTGTGGATAGGATTTCTGGGTGGTTATTTTAAGAAAACTGTGTTAAATTTCTTGCTTCTATGCCAGGTACCCACTGTTTAACAAATAGACCATGACTAAGCATAGACTGGAAATTAGAAGAATGTACGAGTTAAAGCAATGAGATTCTGGGACTGTCTTCCCTTAGGAGCACATTTAATAGTGCTGCTTGATTATGAAAAGGATAAATCTGATGTGATTGATGCAACAGGGGATTGGATTTGATGATCCAGGGAATCCCTTCCAGCCCTCTCTACTCCTAATGAATTTATTTTTTAAGGGCGGGAGGAGGGGATACAGGGCTCTACTGATGGCAAACAATGGCAAAGCGTGTAGATACCTGCTGATGGTTAGTGTGTCGCTATCCCCAGATTTAACCAATTCCCATCATCAAGAATGTGGAGCAGGTCTCTCTCCTAGTTCTGCCCATCCTGAACATACCAAACAGATCTGGGCGCAAGGATTGTACCTATTCTTCTCATTTTCCAACTACTGAGGGCTTCCAAAACTCACTCTCCTCGAACCAATACCACAAATGCCTCATCTTATAGGTTCCCTATGTATATATAAGGTACTTACCTGTCTCCCAATGCCATAATGACTGTGTCCCTCGCAATGTTTTTTTCATGTGAATATCCTCAGTGAAGATGAACAAGGATCATCTTTTAGCAATGGGAAACTGAGGCACGGAACAAACTGAATTTCCTATGGTGGCAGAGGACAATGGTAGCATGGAAGGGACCTGCAGCCCAGACCAAGGCTGGAATCTCACTGCTAGACTTTTCTTCTCCAGTCATCTAACAAGGCTTTCCCTTTCATAACAGGAAGAGCAGACCAGAAAGTATTTTCCAGCCCTAGTCTGATATTTTCACTAGTCTGGGATTCCCATCCTCTGTCAACCCAAGGGGCCTGAGCTTGGGGTTTCTGAAGGCACGGTGCAAGGTTGTTTCAGAAGAGATGCATAGGAAAAGTGGTTATGTTCCTTTCCCCCCCTGAGTACTTTTAATTCTTTAATTCCTACTTGCTAATAAGATAAAATGCTGCAATTTCTGCAGGATCAAATGGTGCAGGATAAGCTAAGGGAGTTTATTAATTAGCATGCTTCCAGTGCTGGGAAAAAAAAATAATAAAAAGAAGCAACAGGGTTGTAGGTGATAGCTATAAATATGACCCAAACATTACCACCTGCCATGACATTTTAGCCAAGAGGAGGCTGTCATGTTAGTTCTGGGCATGGCACTCTGATAGTGAATAAAAATCATAAATAAGAGGGCAAGTGTTTTTCTTTCCACAATGTGGCATTTCACAGACATGTACTATATTTCTCCAGGGCCTGATCCTGCAAATAATACCAGGTGTAGCACTTCTGTGTGTGAGTGCTCCTCTGGCTTCCCTGGGATTGCTTGGAGCAGTGAGTGCTAAGCCCAGTGGTAAGTGGTTGCAGGATCAGATTCATAGTGTGCCAAGAATTTTGGATGAAAAGAGCTATAAAGAAGTCACATATTATTATGTCACATTGCAAAGGTCAACCCCAGTATTTGTTCTGTCACAAGGACATATTGAAAGGGAAAAAAATAGTGTCAGGGCACAGGGGAAAATAATTTTTTAAAAACTGCCTTCAGGGCTGAGGATACAAAATTACATCAGTGTTTAGAACTAAATTCCCATCCACACCCCGCAATTCAATTTTGGCTCAGAAAGGCATAAACGTAACAAAATCACCTTTCAGTGGCACATCTTCTTATCCGCTGACATATCCCCTGTAAAATCAGCGATATCTAAACTCACACTCCCGTGTCATTCTGGCAACAGTCAGGCACTGCCAGAGCCCTGCTCCATCACAGATCCCAGGAGGGCTTTGTGAGATCCACTCAGCTGCTTAACACCACGTAGGCATTCTCTTAACCACGGTCACTGCCAGGGCAGGAGTGTTGGTGATGCTGGGAAGAGGCTGGACAGTGGAACAGCTAGTCTTTCATCACCTGGCCAGGAGCACACACCTCCCCTAGCAATGTCATGGGGAGGTTTGGGTAATTGGACACCAGTAATTTGTCCCATTCATAGCCACTTTGCAAATATTTATGCCTGTCTCTCAGGGCTTGCTGGCAGAGGGAAGCTATTGAGAAATAAAGTGTGGAAGCCATCACTCTGCTGTCTTAATTTATGAGGGGTCATAACTGCTCTGCAGACAGTGTCTTGGGGTGGATTAGCTCCATCCCCTTCCAAAACAGACTCAAGCAAAGGCTCCCCAACTTTCTGGATCAACAGAGTAATTCCTTGTGTGCCAGCAGCAAAACTGCACAGGAAAATCAAGTTCAGTGTTTGCCCCTCTCACAGGCTTCTGCCTCTCACCTCCAGCAGCCTTTCAGCTCGCTGGTGGTGGCTTTTGGGATGCTGTGGCAGCTGGGGATCCACTGGGCTGAGCATTGAGCACAATGGGATGATGGATCGCCTCCGTGGGAGGGAGGGCAGGGTGAACAGAAGTGTTACCAGCCCTCACTTGGCTCACAGGGCTCCCATCAGCCACCACCCTGGCAAACCCAAACTCCTTTGCACTCTCAGAGCATCAAATTCATACCAATCCCTCACTGCCGCTCCTCCGGGCAAGGGACGGGAGCAGCAGTGGGGCAGTGATGGTGGACATCCACTCAACCGCAGCTGCAAGCACCCAACCGGTCAGGCACCGTGGCTGTGTCTAGACTAGCAAACAAAAGGCATCAGAGCTGGCATGTGACAATTCAACTGCTCAGATGGTCTCATTTTAGTCCACACCAAATTGACAGCGTCCAAACAACTGTTGAGAGGGCAGCGCAAACCAGGGTGGCAGTCCCCGGTGAGCAGTGCAAATGCCACCCTGCTTAGAAGTGCGGAGTGGTTTTGCTGCACAGAGACAAACCATGCTGTGCTCGCTGCCATCAAAGCCAGAGGACAGCCCACGTTGTCCACTAGTGCAGACACAGCCTGAACACCCACAGACAAAGACTGCACTGAGGACTTTTTCATTCATCCCATATTATCTCACCACACAGACAAGCCCCAGAGAGTTGCTATAGCATGTGCAGTTCCCATCACACACGAGACCCGCTTCGCTGCCAAACGCACTAGACCCGACCTAGTCCCCGCTCAACCCCACGTGTCATTTCATGCTCAAGCGGCACCAGTCCCCCGTTTCAGCTGCCCCAGGGGTTGAGATCCACTCACTGTTGCAGCTGCCGGCGGTGCCAGTCTCTGTCGCTGCCACGCTGCGCTGAACTGGCCCTTCGGACGCGGCCCTTCCTGACAGTGAATGGGTGAAAACAAGGGAAGGAGACAAACAAAAGAGAAGGGAAGGGTGAGAGAGGGAGGGAGGGATGGGGGGGAGTGAAGCAAGGGGACAAGAAGGGAAAGGGTGTGTCTTTAACCGAACTGTATGTCTTTCACTGGCTGCAACATCCCAACACTGCACAACCCTTGCTGTGAGGGTATGGGGCAGGTGAGACCCTCTGGCCCTGGTCACCACCACCTTGCACCCCACACCATCACCTGTACCAGTGCAGAGGGAGGGCGAGCTGGGCGACAGTCAAGGGGGTCTTGGCCTCCTGAAACTTCTCCTTGGACTGTGAAGCCACATCCCCTGGGGGACCCAGAGTCTCTCTCCAGACAGAAGTTTTAGGAAGATTGAGCAGTTCCTCTATATCTGGAACTCAAGCATCCTGCTCCTTGACCATCGCCAGCCCTCCTGGGCACAGTGCAGGGACCCATCTGCCTCTGCCAGCAGAACAAGACCCAGGCCTGACGTTTTTACTCAAGCAAGCTTGGGTTAGCCAGAGTTAAGGGCATCACTGGCTAAATGTCCCAGTGAAGCAACTGGTACATCTCCCTGTGCTTCCCCAAACGTCTTTGTCCCCTCTTGCAGGTTGGGGGAGGAATTAAAAACCTCATTCAACAGCTTCTGATCACCCACAAACCTGCCAGCACTTACAAAATTGAACCTTAGGAGGGGACAAGGGAAGCGAAATGATGGAGCAAAAAACACAGCGCTACATTTTCCTGTGTATCGAAGTAGGAAAGATTTGGGGAATGGGAGGGAGGAGAAGGGGTAGAGATCTCAGTGTGCAAATTAAGAGTGAATGACAAGCATAAGGTCCACTGACTTTCTACTAAGGTGTTTGTGTTCCAACTGGGACAAAAAGGAGACAAAATCCCAAGATGAAAGGGCAGTTGGTGAGCGTGGTGGTTTGGGGGGAGGCTTCTGGCCATGCTACTAAAGAGCTCAGGCTGACAGCTGCCCCAGGAATACAAAAAATACAGCCTCAGGGTGTGTCCAGCTAGTCATCACCCTGGGTGCCTTCCTACCCCACACCAGAGGTGAAAATTGAGCTGCTAAATGTAGCTGACAGCTCATTCTGCTTGGGGAATTGCCCCGTGAATGACTGACTCACCTCCCTTCCCAAAAAGTTGAGGTAGGAAATGGGTGGCGGAAAGGCTTAGAAAATTGTTCCATGATGGTAGTTTAAATTGTCTCTGCATTACAGTGTTACAGTTAGGGAAAAAGAAAAAAAAAGAGATCTATCACATAAAGCTGCATCATAAAGCCAGCTGTGGCAGAGGTATGGACATTGGAAAGAAGCAGAGAAAATGAAGTCATCCAGCAGTGGAAAAAAAAAAAAACCAACATCAATATAATATAGTGCAGAACAAAGCAAAGTCTACCTCAAACACAGAGCTAAAAGAGAAACATCTTCCTCTGTCAGATCTATTACCATGCCTTTATTCCAATAACAAATAACTAACACAGAAAGTAACCCAAGCCTGATTTATTCCTCTAAGTAAATATGAAGAGGCAGATGAATCTGACTGGAAAAAAAAAAAAAAAATAAATAAAACAACCTGATCTCATATGTTTTCCTTGTATGTAGTTGAAAAAATGGGAGTGGAGTTTCTGCCTTGCTGCCAGGGGATGCTGGCAAAGCATTGAGCTATAGATATTGTATCTTGTCACTAATGACTGCAGGGAACTAAAAGGGATTTGGATTTTTTAATGCTTCACATTAATTGATAATTTGGTCTCAGAATCCACAGTGGAACACAGGATTTGCTATATTGGATCAGTCTAGTGGACCATAAAATCTGGCGTCTTGCCTCAGTGATGCTCAGAAAAATTATCATTCAGTGTCTTTGCTTATAAGGTTACTGGCCATTTCTGTAAGGCCATACAACTGAAAGAGATGAAAGGTCTTTCTGGCCTGCACAGCAAGTCTCTTTAAAACCCTGAAGTATGGTTTTGGCAGGACTGTATTAATTTTTGTTTTGTTTTTTGTTTTTTCCTCTGATGCAAGGAAGAAACTCTGTAACTCCAAACATATTCAGCAGACAGGCTGCTGTTTTTCCTCTTGGTCACCACAGCCCAAATACTGAGAAGGTGAACTTGTGTTTTCAGAGGGCAAAGGAGAACATGACTGAGTCCAGAGCGGGGAAGATGTCTTGTACTGAGCAGAACAATATTGATTAGGCAGTGTAAAGATTTCCCTTGCTAATTCCTTTATCAATCTTATCATGTGTTGCCCACATAATTGGATGGGGAAGAGAGAGGTGGAATCACTTAAGCGTTCAAAGCTCAACACACACGGAGAAAAGATTCCTATTTTGTGTGTGTGTGCAATTTTGTGCATCGCTGCCCCTTGATTGTACATTGAACATGCTCTCTTTGACAGCCTAGCCCTAAACAGCCTGCTTATTAAAGACAGCTGCTTGCAAATAGGGGCTTTCTCCATCCAGCTGGCGTGGGGAAGGAGTTCGCTGTGGCTGTGAGAGAGGCAGGACTACGAAACAGGAGGGGATCAGGGGGGGAAAGCCTGTGAAAACTCTGACCATGCAGGAATCAGGAGGAAAAAAGAAAGGCAGCGGTTTCTTTCCATGCAAACATCTTAATTAAGGAGGATGATGAAGATATTTGCATCTTAATTTTTCTAGGAGGGTCTTCAGTTTTTCTTGAAGCAAGGCATAATTTATCCATGCTCCCACTAAACTGGCTTAAAATTTCTCTGCCTCCAGTTCTTTTGTTGATCATACTGAGGTTTAGGGATGCTTTTCTGACTGATGTGTGATCTCATGGCTGTCTCCATGGTAAAGGAGAGCTGAGATCATGGTCCTGCAGGTGGGAAGGCAGGAAGAGGCCACTGGCCAGCTGGGGTGCAGTGGGGAAATGGGTCCAACAACATAGATAAGGTGAGAGGGGAGAGTTTTACACATCTAAGCCTCCCTCATTTGTAAGTGGCAGTGCTCCTTCCAAAGTATGAACGATTTGTTTCCATATGCTCAGGAGCACACACACTGTTTCTTAGTCCACGTGGGGCTAGAATAATGAATCTCACTGGCATATGGTTCTCCACCTTCTGCTCTAGCTCCAGTTTAAATCAGGCCACCTTGTTAAAACCCTGGGACCATCAGCTTCTCTGGCCTGCCCTGTACAAAATCGTTCCTTGTTCCTGGTGACACCACAGAGGAACATATTTTGGATGGATCTCTACCATGGGAGAGTCTCTCTGGCTCAAAACTTGGCACTCTACTCTTTTTCAAGCATCTTGCAGCTTTCAGGCTAATGGGATGTTCAGGGTGGGGACAGCAGGATGGGAGCACATTGCATGCAGACAGCCTCAAGCAGGTGGATGGGAATCACACTTGGATGATACAAATTAGAACAGGGGGAAAAAAACAATTTCACAGTCAAGTCAGGGAAAAACTACTCAAGGATGGGTGGGAAACACAAGAATCTTCTCTTGCCTCTCTGGCTCTGTTGACTGCACCCAGGGAACACTGAAAATGTAAAAAAGTCCTGCCCTCCCTAGTTAAGTTTTATGGGAAGGGAATTTCTTTAAAGGAAAGGGCTCCTGAAACCCATTCAGGAAACGTGCTGTCTCGAGTTTTCACAGCAGAGGTGAACAGGCTTGGGTAGTTTGGCTACACTGAGGAAGAATCCCAGTTTTCTGAACTGAACTGAATTTGTGACTTCCTGAGGTTGGTGTCACTACCCCTCATCTGGGTCCAACATTTGACTGATTAATCCCAGTCCCCAGCTCCCAGGAAAGCAGAGGTCAGCCTGGACAGCTTTTAAGAGCAGCCAAAGTCCAGTCTGCTGGGATCCTGACCTCAGTCAGAGATGCATAAAGGGGAGTACAGAAACAGAAGAGCCCACAGCATATATCCCACAGTATCTTCCAGTCCTCAATAATCAGTGGCACAGAGATTTTCTGAAACAGGGCATTTTGTGTCTGATAGCCCCTAATAGATTACTTTGCTTTACAATTCTGTTCAATCACTTTTTCAACCCATCTCAGCTGTTGGCTCCTGCCATCTCCTGAGACAAGAAATACCAAAAAACAAATTCCTCCCTGTTTGGCTACATCTATGACCTCTGCAAACAGAAGGTCTGGAGTTAAAAACTATCCAGAAGCCAAACTGAAAGGCTTTGAAATCCAGCTCTCTGGAGCTCAGTCCAATGGTTGGGAGAAAACAAAAGCCTCAATTCAAATGCCTGGGAATGGGGCTGGGCTGTCACTGAAAGATTGTAAGTTTGGTTAGTTGTCAGTAGGTGTATGAGGGTTTGGGTGGTTTGGGAGGAACATGGACAGGTTAAGTGTGGAGCTCGGTGTCTGTGTGAATATTGAGACTATATTAAACAAAAAATCTGAGCCAAATGACTTGCAATGCAGCAGCAACATATCCTGAGCAGGAGAAGAGGTGAGCATGGAGGTCAAGTACCATAGCAGGGAGGTTTTTATTTCCCAAAACTGAACTGCTCTTTTGTGCCTGTGCTTCAAAGAAGATGTCACCAGATTGTGAGAGCTCTTCACCTGCCACATCCCTCTCATTACTGAAATTAAATAAATGGCAACAGCATGAAAACAGCAACTCAAGCAGGAGAAAGACAGGTAGACAGTGAGGAAAAGGGGAGGGGGGAAACAGGGTGCGGGTGGAGGTCTTGGCAGGGTGGAGGATTAGGGCAATTACCATTTCTGAGAAAATGCCAGAAATACAACACAACCTAATTTCCTCAATTAATTCTTCTGCACTTGAGCTGCTTTGTGTGAAGGGCTCTTAATGTTTCAAATAGGAGGAAGGGGGAAAAAAAAAAAAAAAAGACTCAACATTTGTTTTTCCCTCAGTGTAGAAATGGGGAAGTGTTGAGAAAAAATGTCTGGCTAAAACACAAGATGATGCTGTTACATCTTCCTTTCAGGAGATAAGGAACTGTGCTGCGAATTCAATTTGCAGAGGTTTTTATAGGAGCCACAGAG